AGGAGATTGTTAAAATTATGCAACAATCACTGGACTAACATTCAGATCCTACTGTAAACTCAATGAATAATCACCAGCACAGTCCAAAGGACAGATGGACTGCTGATAAGCTTTTGGCTGTAAAGAATCCTCTAATTTGAGATAAACATTTTGGGGAATTTTTTATAGACTTGATGATTGAATAGGCCTTTCTTCCTCTGCAAGAAAGAAAAAAATCAGAAAGCATGGAGACAAGGCATCAAGAGTGAGAGAGAAAAAAGCAGCATGAAGATTGTCATGAAGCAAAGAAAATAAAGTTTCATGTGAATGGTTTCACAGAATAAAGAAGTAAGGACTTGACTGCTCCAGTGTATTTTTTTACCTCTTCTTCACTAACCCAATAATAACTCACTTTTCTAAAAATGTTATTAAAAAAGAGATTTTAAAAATTACTGTATAGTTATTGATGATTTTCTTCCAGAAGCCATTTCTCTTTCTAACTCTATGTTCTCTCTCTTTCAAATGTCTTTCTCTCAGCATGCAGCTGCAGAATTCTATTTTCTATTTCTCTTGACCACTTCTCCTGCCTTCAAGAGATTAGGAGATACCTGCTCTACTTGTTGAAATGGGTGTTGTCTCTACAGAGACCAAAATAACTGAAAGCCTCACAAATGCCTCACAGGAAGAGGTTTTACTCTCAAAATAGCTCCCTGAGACAGAGAAATCACATTGAAGATGAGAAAATTATGATTGGGTTAGACTAACTTGATTCCTAACTCCCTGAGCAAGCACCAAAGTAACCTGAGTTTCCTCTGCTTTGTACAGAGTTGGACATGACTTTAAATGTCTCATTTAACCTAAATTATTCTATGATATTATGGTTTTATGAATTAGAAATTAAATTTAAAACTTCCTTTAAAAAAAACCCTTACCCTTTCAGATTTTCTTCCTCTCTGACTTCACTGGCTCTTTGTCAAAAACGCCAACCATACGTGAACCAAAATATTCTGAAATATTACTGATTTTTATGACTCTAAGCATTATCCTTGTGATTCTACAAATATGTGTGAGGTTTTACATTGTCATTTCTTGTTATCTTTACTTAAGTTCTTTACAAAGCCATCGATGGAGCTGTAAGACAACCTAGAAAAGTGCACTGACAGTGTCAGTTCTACTTCCTGACAGAATAACCTTATACCTACAGTGAACTTTGGGTAAACAGATACCTGAACACAGGCAATATGAATGTGATCCTGACAGGAATATATATTCAATGTAATAATTTCTCCTATGCTGTTAAACTCGTTCATTGCCTTCACAGCCCGTAGGACCTTTCAAATAGTCAAACAAAATTCATACGGACACATCTATGAAAATCTCATTCCACGAATAAAAGGCAAGATGTTTAGAAAATCTTTTGCAAACCACAACTAAATATAACAGTGTGAAATACGTGATACCTACCTTCACTCTTTGCAGTTTGCTGTATCTTGTAATAAAGCTCTCTTTTCTAAAAGTTCCAGCTGGTACTAACTGCAGCTAAGCAACACAAAGTGTAGAAAGGACAACATGTAATATTTTCTTTTTTTTAATTTTAAATTTTTTTTTAGTGAATTTCTATTCATAATTTGCAAACAGAACAGTGAAGGATTTTTGCCTTGTATTCAAAGATGAACATGGGACTGTATCATATCCATGTCAGATTCTCCTTTCATAAATTGCAAACCTGTGACTACAGTCATCCATAAAAGATATATTCTAGAGTTTAAGAAACTCTGACAATATATAGGCTGACTGGTAACACAGTAGAGAAAGAGATCTCTTCCTGCTTTTTTAAACGGCTAAAATTTTAGAACTAAAACTTTAAGTTTTTCAATTTTGCTTCCATACAAACCGGCTCACTGCTTATTAATTACTGCTGATAACTGCCATAGGCAAGAATATAAAAAAAACATATGGGAATTTGATAAAGATAAAAATCTCTAAGATGCTTATAAAGTACATGACTTGAATCACTCAAGCACTTCAACAAACACTTCGCATTTCTTTCCTATTTCAATTATTCTGCTTTCTTCCTTCACTTGTTTACTTACTCTTTCATCTTTGTTGCTTTTTCTGTCTTTTCTTTAATCTCTATCATAATCCCATACACACATAAGTACAAACAGTGCTCTGTATAGAGATTATAATTCTTATCTATTTTATTTTTCCTTCTTACATTTCTCATGAGGCTCTGACCCTCTTCTTGTATTTTTCTCCCCGAAGCTTACTCATAAATATTCAAAGCCCTTTCCCACCATTTCTGGCATTTCTTCACTTACACAAGCATTCTTGAATGATATTTTTCACTTCAAATATCTTTTCTGTCCTTCATATGCCTCGTCTCTCCCTTGGTGTTCCTATTCATACATTGCTACTCACTTTCCTTACCTATCTCCCTCTACCTGTGTGATCTTTCTCTCTCTTCCTCAAACACACTTAAGAGATATTCATGTGCCTTCCTTGTCCACCATTCTCTTCATACCATTGCTTTTCTTCTTCTTTCTTTCAATGGATACAGTGCAAAGGAAGGAGGTGGATGTATTTATGGCCCTGTGCTTTTCACAATAAATAGCCACAGCAGTCCTGGCAGGGCAGACAAATGAAATTCCTCTTACAATAACTTATCTATTTCAATTTCTGGATATTGCAGTAATGGCAGATTCTACAAAACAGATCGGCAAACACAGAGCTAGTGTTTGCTGAGGGAACACACATAGTCCCTTTGGGAAAGAGGAAAAACAATAGAGACAGTACAAAGTTAGTGTTTCCTTCATACCAGTTACAGTGATGAATTCACAGTAATAAAAGGAAAGAAATTACTGAATTACTTTTGCTAGAAGTAAAAAAGTTTACTAGATCTCATAATACAATCCACTTCCCTAAGAATAGAGAGGTTGACTATAATAATCTTGCCTATCAAACCTACATATGGAAGAAATTCCACATTTCCACTATGTCGGTATCTTGTTCCAAATGCTAAATTTGGGACATTATTGTGTTCCAGTACATATAAAAACACATATATTTCAGTATATAAACCGTAACACTTTAGAAAGATTTGTCCAACATTGAATCTGAACTTTATGAATAATTTATTCTTTTTTTTTCCCCCAGAAAGAATGAAATTTCTGTCCTTTTCACAGCACTGCTTACCACATGAAGAGATTGTTTATTTCTATCTTCTTCAACAAGTGTTCTTTCAGCTTCTATACCCATCTCCAACTTTCTACGTGCTCTAATTTTGTAATTTTCCTCTGGACTGTCTTCAGTTTGAGACCAAACACAATTGGCTTCATCAACCCTTTGCAGAAAGATAATTTGTCCTGTCAGATGTACTGCACACATATTAATACACTCCACAGTGACACTGTATTTTTTCTTTAACGGTAGCACATTGCTGACTCATATTTACACTACAGCTCCTAGATTATTTTCTGAAGTGCTGTTATTTTACCAGTATCCGTTTAATTTTACTTTTTTTCTTCCCAAATATAATTTGCATGCGTCAGTATCACGTTTTTTCCTGCTTCTTCCAAGATATTTCTTTAACTTGTTCTTAATTATTAATTTTACTTCCCATATTTGTCACCAAAGTGCCAATAGGTCCTTTTAGCTTTCCGACAACTCTGTATTTCATAATTTCATAATTCACATAATAAACGATCAGAAGAACAGGAAATGCTTTTAGATCAAGCACTTAACATCAAAAAAGTATATTACATAAGGAATTCTGCTTAAACAGGATTACTTTTGATTAGGCAGATCATGACTTCTTCATATAACTGCCTTATTCTTAAGATGCCAAAAGGTAGATAACCTAATACAGTCCTACACTCTGCTACTAGGTGCTGCCAAAATTGTGTACATCTAGCCTGCACGTGTTTTAATTTCAGCCATTGGCTTCAATTATCAGAATATGGAAATTTCACATTGGGTACGTCTTCATCCTGATCATATAATGATTAAGGGTTTTGTTTGTTTGGTTGGTTGGTTTGGTTTGGGGGTTTTTTGTCAGTAAAGTTGGGACTTTGGGTTTTTTGGGGGGTTTTCTCCCCTCCCCTTTTCCCCCCCAAGATGCATTATGGCAATATGTCCACTGATGTACGGTGAATCTCACCTTCCTTTCACTGGATGACATATCAAAAGGCCATATGTCAAATATATAATAATATATATTTACGCGGATAAAGTCCCGCTTACCATTAAATCACTGCAAGAGTAGTTGAACTGTCGTAACCACAAGGCATTTTGAATATGACAATATTCAGCGTGAAGTTAGTTGGTTCTATAGGATTGCACACGCTGTTTTCCCTTAAGTGTATGGCCATGTTTTCGGACGCATTAAACAGATTTTCCCCCCAGGCAGCACCAGGGGCAGGGAGCGCGGCGCTGCCCGGGCACGGGCACCGCGGGTGGCTCGGGGCGCTCGCTCCGCGCCGGGCGCCTCCCGTGAGGAAGGCGGGGAGGCTCCGGCACTCGTGCGGCTCCTGGGGACGGGGCCGTGGGGAAAGGCCGCTGGCCCAGCACCCGGCGGTCCCCAGCACCCGGTGGTTCCCAGCTGCCGCCCGGGGAGGCTCCGGGCCGGGGCTCGGCGAGCGCGGCCGTGCGGCTCTGGCGCGCCGGGGCCGCCTGGTGGGGCCGTCGCCTCTAGGCCGCCTACGGGGCGGGGCCATGTAGGTTTCGGCTGAACATTCTGGAGTGGAGGGGAGCGGCGGGGGGCGAGGCGAGGCAGGGCAGGGCAGGGAGCTGAGCCGAGCCGGGCCACGGCAGGCAGCAGAGCCAAGCCGAGCCGAGCCGAGCCGGGCCGCGCCGGGCCGGGCCACGCCACAGCACGCAGCCCCGGGCCGAGCCGAGCCAAGCCAAGCCGGCCCGCCTTCCCCGGGAGGAGGCGGAGGCTGAAGGGGAGGAGGCAGGAAAGGAGGAGGAGAGGCGGAGGAGGTGGAGGAGGCGGGAGCGGGCGGGAGCGGAGGGAGGACACGGGGAGGCGGCTGCTGCTGCTGGGCAGAGAGGAGTCGTGCAGGAGCAGCGGCTGCACTCGGACGCCACATTCGCTCTTTATGGGGCTGGTGGTGAGGATGAGCGAGAGCTGACCCTGCCGCGCCGCCGCCTGTGCTGTGAAGTGTCTGCTCCTCCTCCTCCTTCTCTTCTCCTCCTCCCCGCCGTGGGTGAACCTGCGCTACGGGCTCTTCACCGACACGGGGGAGGTTGGTTTGTTTGTGCATTTGTTAAAGGCAAAGAGAGAGAAAGAGAGATCTTCCACCCGCTGAAGCACAGTTCACTATGATCGTACTCGCATCCAGCACTGGAAGCCGGTTGGATTTCGTGTCTCAGTCCAGGGTGTTTTTCTTGCAAACCTTCATTTGGATTTTATGTGCTACAGTGTGCAAAGCGGAGCAGTATTTCAATGTGGAGGTAAGATCAGCCGGATGCGTGTGCGAGCGTGTGTGCTTCCCCCTCTCCCTTTCCTCCCTTCCCTTTTTTCATGTCCCTCAAATCAAATCAAATAGCCAGCCAGCCATGTCTTCCAGCAGCCAGGGCATACGTCTGTGTAGGCTTTCCTTCCAGCAGCCGGTAGCTAGCTCCCCTCCCCGCGCTGCCCCGCCTGATGGATGCGTTTCAGCCGGAGATCCCGTTATCCCGGCAGCGCGATGCCGGGCGCTGGAACGCAGCCCGCCGGAGACGGGAAACCCTCGCACGGGCACGGAGGAAACCTGGGGCACAGGATGTACATGCAGCTCAGGAAACGTTCGCTGAATGTTTTGGACTTAAGATACCACTGTCTTTCTGAGTTTTCCCAGCCTTTTTTGGTTTGGTTTGGTTTTTTTTATTTTTTTTTGTTTTTTTGGTTTTTTTTTGAGGAATGAATGAAAGAGCGTTATAGGGACAGGACGAAAGAAACTTGAGATTTTTGGCACGTTTCTTTGTGGTAGACTATCTGAAAAAAAAATCATTTTCCCATGTAGACGTAAGAAAAAGAGTTGCCACTAGAAATAGTGAAACAAATGGCATAAAGGTGCAACTACAGCTCGGAAGTTAGGGGGTGTGGAGGACAAGGAAACAGTATTTTTCTGAGAGGAAATGAAGATTAAAATGTGGGGATACCAAGATGGGGCAAACCCTAAGAGTTTACACTTACAGTGACCGTCCATTTCCAGTCACCTTTGTCTACACTCCCAGTTTCCCCATTAGGAGTTTTTACATAGTGCTTTCACTTATCTAATGTTTCTTTGCTGACTTTTATCATCTTTGCATATATTCTTTTCTCCTTTTTCTCCATCCTGTCACTTCATTTGTTCTGCTGTGATCCGCTACTCTACTGCAGTAGGATGTGTCTATTTCCTTCTTCTTTTCCATGGCAATTCAACATATTGATTTTTCTTGTTATGTCTCTGTAATTTATATGTGCTGTCTAACTTCTTATACGTAATTCTGGTATTCTCTTAGGTCACTCTGTACCTTTACTTCCATCTGTCTGGCCAACCCCACTCAAAACTTTCTGCTGCACCCGTACACCAGCTTTTTTTTATATAATCTCCTTAGTCTCCTGTGTTCCCATGATCTTTTATCTCAGAAAAATGAAGTCTGTGTCCCTGTCTCACACATATGCACACTTGCTTGTTTTATATGAGCTCTTGTTCTCACTCAGTGACACACATTCTTGCTCCTTTCTCTGATGAGATTGCTCATGCAGATCCTGCTCTGTTCCTAGATTGTTTGTCTAAAGTTCTTACCTGTATGTGTTCTCCCTCTGTCTCGTGCAAGATCATATCAATTGTATAAAGAACTCGCATTTTCTTTCTCCATGTCTGTTTGCATCCTACTCTTTCCTTCTCTACAGGCAGTTTGCAATTCTCTCAGCTTAACAACATTCATCCATTGATTCTTTCTTTGACTTCCATCTCTCCAGAAAATACTGTCTTTTTACTCCATCATTAAATTCTTTCTTTATTATAAATCCAAGTCTTTTTTCTCTGTCATCTGTGCTCTAGTCACTCATTTGACCCTTATCACAAATATGCAATGTTGGATTGTAAGGTCTTTGGAGTTAGGACTCATCTTCTCACATGTTTATCTGGTGTGTACCATGCTCAAGTCTGGAGTACAGTTGTGACACTTCTGCTATATGAATATTAAAGCTGCATGTTTAAGAGCACACAATGACGTTTTATCCTTCTGCTCATGTCCTCAGCTGCCTTCTTTACTGATGAGCAGAGGAAGGAGCTTGGAAGAAAGGAAGTTGCTCTCTGTATCCTCCCCATGCTTCACAGGCTGGCCCCCTGCAGAGTATAGGGATGAAATTCCAGCGACAGAACTTTCTCCTCCCACAGCAGTCTGCTTTGCTGGCATCTGGCTCTGCTGGAGAGACGGGCGGCAGATGGAGCTAGTGTGGGAGGAGAAAAAGATTGGTTTAGTCAAGTGGAATATGAACAGGAGGCCAGCTCCAGTCAGGATGAGGTTTTCTGAGGAAAGAAGGGAAACACTTTCATTCTTGCCACCTCTTCCATATGGAAAACAGCACATTTTGAGGGTAAAGGCAATATCAGGAGCAAGAAATACTGTTGGATAGAATGAAGTGGCATGTATGTGTGATGAGGGCACATATTTCTCCTTTTTGAAATATGCCATCTCCTGCTTTTCTTTCCAGCCTTTCTGAAAACAGAGTGTTATCATATGCCAACGCTTCCAGTCTTTTCATATGTAAGTCTTTGAGCCACACATTGCTGGGAGCCAGAAGAGTGTTCCAGGGGATTGCTTGATTTTTTGAGAGTTGTCCTAATATAGGACTTTTTCCTAGGTCACTGCCTTTGACCACTGCTAGTGACATGATCCTGGTCTAAATGAACCTCAGATTTGCCCCAGAACAGCCATTTGGTGTGTTCACATTGTTTGGATAGTGCTGAAAATTCAATTCTCTTTTTGCTGGGAAAAGCAAAGGCTAAAAGCATGGGAAATTTGAGGCAGAGGACTTGGCAGCAGCATGTATGTATTGTGCTGTAAAACTCTGCATGTCAGCACAAGTGTATTAAGCAGTTGCACTTCAGAGTAAATAGTGAAAATATAACAAAGATTTCTTATGACAATAAGAATAAATATGCAAAGTAGGCTTCAAGAGAGAAGTAGTGTACATATAGCTGAATGAAATGTCACTGAAAAAAGTGCTTAGGATTGTTGGAAAGTAGATTTACTTTTCATTCTTTCTTGTCTTTAAATAAAATACAGATAATACCTGTTGAACATTATAAAATGTGGAGATGATTTATTTCCACTTGTTCTGTCTTGTTTAATCAGCTTTCCTGATTGATAAGTAAAATCTGTGCAGTCTTGTTGAATTTTTGTTTTGTTTCAGTGCTGTGTGCCAAGGCCCTTCTTAAGAGATACTACTATAGCTCAAAGACATTAAATAATAATGTTTCCTTTTAAAAGTAAAACACAAAGCTGAAATTTACAAGCTTGTATGAACATTTCTGTTCCTTGTAATTTGGTTTTCTTGCTGTCAGATTTCTTTTAGCCAAAAATGAATGAATTCTTCAAGTTTCCAATGATAGCTGAACTCATCTGTCTATCCTGAAATGTATTAATGTATACAGTATTTCATGTAATAGACACAGCAGAGTAGGATTCTGATATGATACGTGAGAGGGGCACGCTTGCACTCTGTATTGGTGAGAGTTTTGTGCTAAGGCTTCATGAGAGATGATTGTAACTGATAGGTTAAGAAATGATGATGAAATCTAGGACTCAGTCGTACCTGAAGGAGGCTTTTAGCATTAATTTTCAAAGTTCATTGAATACCAGTAGCATTTTTGTGAGACTTTGTTTCTGACATCATGAGAAAAACTACGGATTACACTCTTAGCTCCTTCTTTTAGAGCTGCACTATTGGTCCAGAACAGTAACTTCCTTAAGTATACTAGTGAAAGACTGTCATCAGTGTTGAGTTTTGCTGCTGTTTTCAACTATTTCTGTACCCTAACAGGGGAAGATATCCATCAATGAGATAGTGAATGGAATAACATTTATGAAAATAACGTTCCAAATATAAAACTGAATCAAACACATGGAAGCTAATTGTTGCTTAAAAAGTGATAGAGCAACAGACTACCTCTTCCCCCTACTGGGCTCCTTACTGCAGTAATAATATTTTGTGTGTCTCGTTCCTTTGTGTGTTACTGGGCGTGTCTATAGATGGTCTTTCACAAGTATAATCCATTTAGTGTGTATATGTAATATATATATTTGCCTTCCTAAGCCAAACCATTGAGCTGGGATTGTTCTGCAAATTTATCTCCCAATGTTATCCACTAGTTTTTGTATGCACTTGAATAATAAGTATGTTTTTATTTAATTAACTATTAAATATCCAATATAAAAAAATGTTACCAAATGTTACCATTTTGTTATGGGAAAAATGGTTATTGAAACAAAAATACCTTGATCAGAAGACAGGATCAGCATGCATCTGGAATACAATTGGTCTCTGGAACATAATGCTGCTTACTCTTACTCAGATGAGTATCTGCCTAAGCCCTGTCGAAGAAAGTGTTTTCAGAATTCCACCTAGTTTCATTGACTCTATCTGTGGTGTGGGAAACACTAGAAAGAAAGCACGCCTCATCATCTCTCTCCTCAAGCTGACAGTTATGCTGTTTTCCTCCTTCTATTGCTAAATGTATGAACTTGAATCCCTAGGGGAGGTCTTAAAATGACTCTTATTTTAATATGAGCAGATCTTTAAAACAATACAGTCATCTCCCATTTTAAAAAGTGGGATGGTTAAATTGCATATTGTGAAACAAAACAGAGTGGAATCCAAACTTCAGAAAAATAAAATCAGTTTCCTCCATGGTAATAAGTTTCTGAGAACCCCGTTGTTTTCATTGTTTATTTACAATTAGCCTCCAGCTCCTGCTAAATGGTAAGGCATGACCTTTTATTCCATAAGCTCTTAGTCTTTTAGGCTTAAAACCAGACCAGTTTAATTCTTCAGCTGGCAACTGAAAAGAAATAAACATTTGGGAAGGGAAAAAATCCTCCAATATCACCTTTTTACATACTTTTGAACTTGGACTTGGTTGTGAGGTTTATAGGCAAAACACAATACTTTTATAGTTCATTAAAATGCAAGCTGGAAACTATGGAAAAGCAATTAAGGTGGTTTTGATATCAATAGTGCCATATGTCCTAACAGGAATTTACAGGATCTTCTGCATTGATTTAAGTTACAATCACTATGCATGATTCTCAGTTACTTAAATTCTGAATCTCACTCTTACGTAGGATATCAATGAAATGAACTGGACTTTTGTTAGAACAAGGAGTTCAAACTGAAATTGTTAGAAAGATGGAGAGGAGTTACTGAATCAGGTGATGAAGATGATTAGTGGGTGAAATATTAGTCAAGGAAAGTATAG